CCCGCAGCCGCCCCGGCCGCCGCCCTCGCCTTCCCGGCGCCCGCGTCTCGAGGTGCCGCCTCCTTCCTCCGGCCGCGCGGCCCAGCACTGCCCGCACCCGAACTAGAGAAACTCGTTTGGTTCTCTTCGGGCAGCGGGGGCTGGGGAAGCGCGTGCTCCTGCCGCCCCGGCCCCGTGGGCAGCCCAGCGCGCGGGCTGGGAGCGGCGGCGCGAGGAGTGGTGCTCCTCCTGCGGGAGGGGACGAGGAAGAGGGGATGCTGGTCCCCTGAGGCGATGGTCCCCGTTTCTCCGGCTGCTCCCCGCGCCGCGCGCGCTAACTCTGGGGGAAGTTGTTGCAAAGTTTCCGAGAGCGGCGTGGGCTCGTGCGAGCGAAGCGCGGGGCGGGGTGCGGACGCCGGGAGGCGAGGACAAGCGCTCCTCGCGGCGTCTTTGTTCTGCTCTGGGGGAAAGACCTGGCAAGGAGTCGCCGGGCGCGCCCTGGGACCGCCAGCCGCGACATTCCGGACCCAGCAGGGGCTCTTTGCTCCCGACCTCCTCCTTCAGGCCGCCCCTCACCCCCCAACCCAACCGCGACAGTGCTTCCAAGTCCCCAAGCCTCCTTCCCTACCCCAAACTTCACCTACCCGCAACGATCCAAAGTCTGGGGTGGGGGAAGAAAGAGGGTGGAGGAGAAGGTGCGCCATGGGCCGGATACCTCCCAAAGGGTGGGTGTTTGCTTTGGAATGCTTGGGTTTTGTTCCTTCGCCCTAGAAGCTGCCTCCCCACGCGGCCCCCCATTCTCTCCATTTCCCCCACCTCCCGGCTCTCCTCCTCTTCAATTCTAGTTAAATCTAGGAGAAAAATGAGCGCTGCTCGCAGTCCCTCAGAGAGCCAGTGCAGTGGCCCCGAGTAGGGATGAGGGTCTAGGGATGGGGCGAGGTGAGGATGGGGTCTCCGACTCTGGAGGTCGGGGAACGACTGGTAAAAGGCCTGGGGAAGGGTCTGGAATTGTTCCGGGTCCGAGACACCTGATTTGCTCTGAGCAAGGCAGTGGGTGAGGGGACGGAAAGAGGGGATGCTCCGACAGCACAAGCCGCGCCAGGGGGTAGAAGATGGGGAGGCGGCGAGGGGCCCCGAGTCAGACCTTCGGGTGGTGGAGGGAAGGGAGCGGGCGAGCGAGCGGGCGAGGAGCCCTGGGCTCCAGGGTCTCAGGGAGCGCGGTCGAGAGCGTAGCCGTCGCGGTTTGAGGTTAGGGAAGTTCGGGGTCTGAGAGGTGGGCGCGATGCTCGAGGTGGGAACCCGCCCTCGGAGTCCCTGGACCGAGTTGTGCAGCGCCTGCAGCAACAGGTAGCCCCGAGGGGTGGAGGCTCCGGTTGGACCCCGAGCTGGCTTTGTCCTGCAGATTAGAGTGCTCTCCTAAGGGACTGCGCTGGGGTGGGTGGGTGGGGGGGAGAATTTAAAAAAAAAAACACTTGGAGCACCCTTTGAGTTGTTTTGGTGTGTTGGGTGGGTGGAGGACGGTGAATCTGAGTGTAGGGAAGAGGATGGAGAGCCACCACCTCGGATTGCGTAATGCCTTTATCTTATGGGGTTGACCCCCTACCCTTAGCATATCGTCTCCCGGGATGATGGGAAACTGACAGAAACTCGATGCCAAAGTGGACTGTTCACATTGATTGGCAGGGAAAGTGCAAACAAAGAGGTGCATCTCCCGGAAACAATGATTTTGGAGATTCCCCCCCCCCGGAGACTCGTGCGCGTTGGGGAGGCGGGGGATAAAAGGGTGGTGGGCGGGAGGGGACCAGGACGGGCATCTCCTGGGGAAAGTTTCGAGCGAGGTCGCGGGAGGAGAGGGTCGGGGCAGAGTTGCGTGGAACTGGGAACTGAGCCGCCCGGGCCGCCTCGGAGGTTCCCGAGCCGGGCGGGAGATGCGGGGAGAGGGAGGGGGCGGGGAGGGGAGGGGAGGGAGAGAGGAAGAAGGGGTGAGAGGGAGAAACCTGCCGCCGCTCGCCGCCTCTTTGTCTGCTCCGGGACTTGGAACAAAAGGGGGAACTCTGATGAACTCTCTCCTCCCCTCTCCCCCGGACGCCCGGGTATCTCCCTCTGGCAACTTTGCCGCCGCGACTTTCTCCGCTGTCAGGCCACACGAAAGTGTCCGAGCACCTCGCAGACGGCAGCGAGGGAAATGGCCCTTAAAAGTGCGACGAGGTGGGGGAAGAGGTGAGTGGAAATTGTTGTCTTGTTTACCTCTCTCCCCCTGAATGCTCCCGACTCCCCGCCCTTCGGAGGACGGAGGCGTAGTCCGGTGGCGAAGTTTGGCTGGTAAGTTGTACCTCCTTTCCCTGTTTCCTTCTCTTTTGTTCTTTAACGAACTTGCACAGATTGTTTTATTTGTTGGTTTTTATTAGGCAACAGCCAGACAAGGCATTTCTCTCAAGTGCCTTATTACAGGAGGAGCTGGGGGAGATGGGGGCACGGGTATCTCAGGGGGGCATTGCCTCGCTTTCTCCCAGCTGCGCCCATACTGGAGAGAACTTGCTGAAATGGATGGGGACAAGGCCGGTCTCACCCCCACCCCGCCCCGACTTTGATCATGGGAAAGAAAGAGGTACGGAGGTGGGGGTTTTATAAGTTAATTGTCTGCGGAGCGCTCTGCGGAACCAACGCACAATAGCAAAGCAGCAACAATAGAACGCAGAAGAGGTTTGGGTTGCAGGGGAGTGGACTGTTGAGTTTGTGGTCAAGGGGCCTTAGAGCAAACAGGTAAGAGTTCAGAAAGTTTTCTTTGGGGCTGGGGTAGGGTGGAGGAAGCCACAGGTTTCCGACTGTCAGAGATGCAGGGATGGAGGGATGGGGCCTGGACCACTAGTTAGGAGTCGGCCATCCTGACCGCCCCTTCCAGTTTCGCGACCCACCCAGAATAGCCTATGCAATCCTCGAGGTCCACTACCACCTCTCTCACGGAACCCCCTCCTCCCCGCCACCCCCCATGTCATTGTGTTTGAATAGAAAGGGGATCGAGAGCCCCAGGAGCTCCTCAGACCCAGCGGTCCGCCCCGCCTTTTGTGTTTTAACCTTTTGTTTCTATCTGCCACGCCCGCCCAAAAGGGGGATGGCCCTGGCTGCTTCTGCGGGGTGGCGAGGCTGCCCGATTCCCTCCTTATTTATAGGCAAAGGGAACCTCCCGAAACTGCTCCCCCAAGTAGCTTCACTTTGCAGTCTTTCTAGGTTGGTTCTTGCTCAAGCTGGACCCCTCCACAACTAGTAAACATGTCCACTTACCATGAAATTTCTCTCGGTGCTTTCCCACTTTCCCACAAAAGTTGTTTATCTGTCCCATCACTTGGTGAATAGACATTTAGGGACAAAGTTGGGAGTTTGTGGAAAGTGGGCAAATGTAGTTGGCTCTAGCTGTTATCATGTGCTCAAATATTAGGAGTGGCTTCTCGCATTCAACAATGCAAATTTAGGTCATTATCTTCAGGTATGTTTTATGGGATCCTTCCAAATACCAAGGTAATTTATCACCTTCTCCACTTTCCTCTCCTGTCCCCACCCCTGAGCTAGAGGCTTTCCTCACCCTCTTGGACTTAGTCACCCGCCTTTTCATTTGGACATGATAAATGAAGTAGCAGACTGAATATGCTGCTGCTTACTGGGGGAAACACCCAAACAGTCTATTTTAACTTCTTAAAGTTATGATTTTGTATAGTATCGTATAGCGTACCCATGATTTAAGACTTGCAGCTAGAAATGATTCAAGTGCCAGAACTATGTATATGAAATCTATTATGGCTATGGTTACTGGTTTTTTTTTTTTTTTTTTAAAGAAACTGAGTGTGTAGAATGACTTGGAAGCTAACGGTAATTAATTTCAATTGTATAGGTGCAATTATTATTATCAGCATCTAGAAAGCATCATGCATTGTTCTTACTGGATCTTCCTATCAATGAACATTATGGAAGTACCAATACAGCATCAAGTCCTTCCTGGATGGAAAGTTTTCAAACTTCTTCATTTGGAATTACTTAAACATTAGGATGTTGGGATTTTTGATGATGCCTTCCTTATGTGGATTACTACAGTTTGGTTACTGGGAATTCTCCACCTCAGTGAAGGTACGTTTCTTTTTCAATACCCTGTAAGCATTCGTTTTGGGGCTGTTGCCTGATGAAAATGATTTATGACGTTGGGTTTCCTTGTTTTGAACCGGTTTTTGTAAGTTCATTTTCATATGGAATGATGATTTGCGTACTTCTGATGAAACTTTACTAATTTTACACTAGGTCCCTCAACATTAGTGCACATAATGAATGTGGGTTATAAAGTCACTAAGGAAAGTTATATAACAATGATGGGTCCAATGAGCACATGTCTTATTTTATTTCTGATTCATTTTGTTTTTAAATCTGGCAGTGGATGTTTATATATTTGCAGAACTTTTGTAGTTTGCATTAATTTTTTTTTTTACTTTTGATATTGCATTTTGGTAAACAAAATCCAAAAGTGGCCAGAAATAAATGAATTCCTAATAATGGGGGCCACTATAAAGTACAACCAGTTCTATCAGAAGGAAAACTTGACTATGTATAACAAGAGAGGCTGTAAATTTATTTAATTTTTATAGTATACATCAAGTTTTTATAGTGTTCATTAAGAGTCTTATAGTCCCTCTTTTAAGTCCTTACAATTCATTTTTATTGATTTCTGTGAGGAAGCAGTTAAAAGTTCACATAAATACTGCCGGTAATATAAAAGTATTTTGATACAGCATTTACTTTACTTGTCTAGCAGTTGTTTGCCATGGAAAGTGAGAGTTTCCTTTGTTTAAAATAGGTTGATTTGAAATGATTTAAGTTGTCGGATTTCATCCTCAAAAATGATTCAAGTTCAAGGTGGTTTAAAATCCTACAGATGGAGAATATCATTGGTATAGTATGGTTTTGGGAAATGTTAAGGTCTGGTCAAAGATGATGATTGGGAATTGGAAATATTTTTATCCTGCTGTAGGTCAAAAAAAATATTGTGATTTGCTCCTTTCCAGTTGTATAAACTTGGGCAAGCTACTTAACCTTCTTGGACTTTATTGTCCATAAAATGAAGTTTAGGCTGAAGAAATTTTAAGAAACTTTTGACTTTAAGATTTTGTCATTTGTTGATTGCTCTTGTATTTAAGGTGCATCCTCTCTTGTGAAGTTTGTTTTTAAATTGTTGAACAATAGACTTAGTGACTTGGAAAACTTCATATATATTAATAATAGTTATTTCATATGAATGCTTAGCTCAGGGAGTATTCAGGAAATATGTTTTAAATTTTTTGTAAAGTATACTTTCAGGAAAGTGTACTGTATGGAAATGCCAGATTTCCTCATGTGTTTTCAACAAAAGTTACCCACTGGAATATTTTTTGGGGGGTAGAGAGTGCAGTGTTATTTCCCAGAAGGTGTTTTACCTACAAATGTCTGAACTGAGTGTGTTTGGATTTGTTCTAATGGCCACCCAGAGTGGGGCTCAGACATGGGCTTGGAATGAAACCTGAGTTTGAATCCGAGCCTAGGCATATTGATTTCCTTGGGTATCAGTTTTCTCACTTGTAAGTGGGGATCATAATACTTATCCAATGGGGTCATTGTGGGGAATATATTTTTAAAATGTGTATGTGTAAGAAAAAAACTTAATATAGGGATAAAGATCTATAAACATATAGTAAGAGGTACTATTATTACTTTCACAATGAATTAGTGATGTCTTATTACTTCCAACTTTCTTTGTTGACTGCCGTACAAGTTTCAAGCCACATTAACCAAAAATAGTCACTGAAATATTCAGTCCAGTTGGATAGAAGTTTTTACATATTCAAATCTTTGTTCCTCTAAAAATATGTTCTATTCACTTCTTTTATCCAGTTAAGTGTGGATTAATCCACTTCAACAAACTTTCCTTTATAAGTCTTACATGTGTAAGCATATTGCTGAAGGTTATGGCTTCAACTTGGGAGTATGTGGTCCTTCCATTTCCTCACACAACTTTCTGTAAATTGAGATAATAGCAAGTTTCTAGAATTGATTTACTCAAATTCTCTATTTTCAATGCTAACCGTGATGAGTAGACTTAGATATAGTTTTAATATTGTTGTTCATTCACTTTTCAGCTATAATATAAAGTGATGGTCCAGTGGTTTCTTGACGAGGACATTAAGAACTCTAGCCCATTTTCTGATATTAGTTTTTATAGAATGGTCCTTACTTAAATAAAAAAGTTAGTATAAACAACATTTAGAAGAATAGCATATCATGTACAATAAAGTTTAAAGTCCTGGATTTTCATTTTCTAGATCTGAGATTTAGCAAGACATACTGCTTTTTCTGAGTGATGATTTAGTTTGAGGAAGATTATATCCATTTACCCTTAGTGACTTGGAAAACTTTAAACAGAGTTTAAAATGATAAATTCCTTTACATTTTCTATACAATGTTAATTCTTAAATTATAGCCAAATATACATAATAACTTTACAAGAAGTATCAAACTTTATAGTCTTGGTTATTTGAAACCGTTGATGTGGACTAGTTCCAATTATTGAAACCAGAGCAATATACCAAGGTATTCACAATAAACTTGCTTAGTAAGAAAATCTAAATAGTCAGCTCTGCCTTCTAAAAATGATGAATACAATACATACTAAGCATCTTATAAGTAAAGCATTTATTTAGCTTTGAACTTTATAATAAGTCTAGGGGTGATTGCCTGCATATTTTGTTGTGTTTTGAGTACTGTTTCTACGTATTTATTTGCTATGAGTTTCTTTAGGTATATTAGGTGCTCCCAAATTTACTTTGGTTTCTTCTTTATGGCCTCACATTGGCTGATTTTTAAATGCCAGCCATTTCTAAGAACTTTGATGGTATTTCTGCTCATTGTTGAAGATACAGTGTTTAAAAATATATCTATCATGAACCTATGAAACCTACTTTGGCCACCCATTCTTAACTCATTCATTCTTTTAAGTAATATTTATTTAGTCCCTTCTATGTGCCAGGCATTGTTCTGAGCCTCGAGGATACAAGAAATAAAAATCCTGCACTCTTGGACCTTTTCGCAATGACAATAAGACAGATGTTAAAAGGTGGTGACTGTTGTTGAGAAAACTAAACCACAAAAGAGAGATAGGGAGTGGGGGAGGGGAGGTTGCTACTTTCAGTTGATTGGCCGAGGATGACCTCATGGCGAAGGTGACCTTTGAGGAATGATTTGAAGGAAGTGAAGGAATGAGCTGTGTGATGGTGGGTAGAGGAACATTTGGGCAGTGGCATGACAAGTGCCTGGTTAATCAACAAAAGCGAGGAGGGCATAAGCAGCTGAATGGTGGTGTAGATGAGGTCAGAGAGGAAATAGGAATATGGTGGGCAGATCACATGATTCTTACAGGCCATTGTGAGGACTTTGGATTTTTCATGGCCAGGGATGAGATACCACGGAGGGGTTTTAAACAATGATTGACCTGCTATAACTAATGTTGCAGCAGAATGACTCGAGTGAGTGGAGACCCAAGGTGGGGCAAAGGGTAGAAACAGGGAGACAGACTATTTAGGAAGCTTTTTCAGGTTTTAAGAGGTGATGTCCGCTTGGTACAAGTAGCATGCAGGTGTGGTGAGAAGAGGTCGAATTCTGAAGATATTTTGGTTGGAGGATTGTCTGGTGGATTGGATAGGAGGCATGAGAGAAAGAGAGGAGTCAAGTATGATTCTGAGATTTTTGACTTGAGCACATGAATGGACCAAACGTCCATGAACTGAAATGAAGTGTGGGCTTGGGGTCAGGGAGACCAGGAGCTTAGTTTGGACCCATGGAGACATGTTTTGAGCATCTAGGCAGTTTGATACACAAGTCTGGTTTTCAGGGAAGGAATCTCAACAAGCAAATTTGTGAGTTGGAAGGCATGAAATGCCATTTAAAGCCACATTACTGGATGAGATCACCAGGAGAGTAAATATAGGAAGAAAAGAGGTCTAGTTACTGAGGCCTCCAGATTTAGAAGTGGAGAAGAAGGGAAGGTCAAGTAAAGGAGAGTGAGGAGGGGCTACCATCGAGGTGGAAGCCCAGTGAAGAAAGGGTCTCCAGCAGAAAGGCAAGATCATCTGTTTCAAGTGCTGCCAACAGATTGAGCAAGGTGACAGTTGAGAATAGGGCTTTGGGTTTGGCATTTGGGAGGTCATTGCTCGTTGGTAGTCTTGGCTAAGAGCAGTTTTGGTAAATGGTGAGAGGGCACATCTTTTTCCCTATTTGTGTGGTCCATTACATAACTTAAAACATCTCCTCTGTTCCAACTAGAATTTGTCAGTACTTTATAGTTGATAAAATGCTTTCACATAGGTCATCTTAGTGAAGTCTCATAGCAGCCTGAGGGAGATGGGAAGGTAATGTCTATGTTTCTAGTACAGAAGAAAACATCGAGACTCGAGAGTAAAGTGATTTGTCCAAATTCACCCAAATACATAATAGAGCTATCTTTTAACTGCAAACCCTTTGCCATTCACAGTAGGGGAGATAGTAATAATAAAACAAAGTCCACTATACTCTTGACAGAGGTGGTAATAGCAGTAGGTACCAAGTATTGAATTAAATCAGAGAGGAAGTGATTATCTTTTGGGGTCAGAGAAGACTTTCTCCAGTTGGGATTTAAAAGATGCATAGCATTTTCACATCTGGGCAAAGGGGAAGAACATTCGAAGCTTGGGAAATAGGATGTGCAAAAACACGGAGGGATGACAACTGGAATGCATTTGGGATGCTTTCGCTGTTTGATTCACCCTGACATGAAGGAGAGTGGATGGGAGGTAGGGTGGAGTGATATAGCAAGGGCTTGTTCAAGCTTGAATTGAAATATGGTTTTAAATAAAACACTCTTAGGTACCATCTTGTTTTTTTAAAGTTTATTTATTTAAGCAATCTCTATACCCAGTGGGGGCTTGAACTCACGACCCTGAGATCAAGAGCCGCACATCCTACCCGCCGAGCCAGCCAGGCACCCCTCGGTGCCATCTTAAATGTGCCTCATGCCATGCAAGGTAGTTCTACACAACCTAGTTAGAAATGCCTGAACATATGTACATCACCAC